TGGCACTATCTTAAGTGAAACAACTTGGAAACAGAAAGACAAATACCATACGGTCTCATTTTTAAGTGGGAGCTAAATAATGTGCACACATGGACATAGAGTTGTAAATTATAGACACTAGAATCTCAGAAGAGTGGAAGGATGAGAGGGAGTTTGATGGTAAAAAATTACCTAATGGATACAAAGAATGTTATTCGGGTGATGGATACAAGAAAAGTCCAGCCTTCACCACTATGCAGTGTGTCCAGGTAACAAAACTGCACTCATATCCTTTAAATGTATGCAAATAAAAATTTAAAAACATAAATATTTATCTATAATAAGGCAAAATGTGCTATAATGACAAACCTGGTAGTTTGAAGCAACTTTCCCAGTGAGGATAACTTTAAAAGCTTGAATAAAATGCTTTTTTTTTTAAGTCAGAGTCTCACTCCATCACCCAGGATGGAGTGTAGTGGCACACTCACGACCACCCCAGCGTGGACCAGATCTGCTTGGCTCCAGCGATCCTTTTGCCTCAGCCTTCCAAGTAGCCGGAACTACAGGCGTGTGCTACCATGCCTGGCTAATTTTTTTATTTATTGTAGAGCCGAGGTCTCACCATATTGCCCAGTCTGGTCTTGAACCTGTGGGCTCAGGCAATCCTTTTGCTTCAGCCTCCCAAATTTCTGGGATTACAGGCTTGAGACATCACGTCTGGCCAAAATGCTTTTAAGATATGTTCTTGAAAGCATCACAAACACACAAAAAATGAAGTTACTTAGAAAAACTGTGGTAGGAAGTGTGAAGCCAAATAGACAAGTCCAGCACTAAAAGCCACTTTAGATCAGAAAGCATTTTCTAAAGCTTTAAAAAGAAAATCTGTAGAATTTAATTATGGGTTAAGGGTTTTTCCCTAAAAGCAAAAACCCTTAACCCATCTAAAATAGTAAGAGATAAAACATCACTTGATTTTCAAATTCTTTTTAGAAAAGAAGAAAAATCTAAAATCAATAATCTAAGCCACCACCTTAGGAAACTAAACAAGCAAAAGCAAATTAAATCCCAAGTAAGCACAGAAAAAAATAATAATAACTAGAGTAGAAATCAATTAAATTGAAAACACAACATCAATAAAGAAAATCAATAAAACCAAAAGCTGTTTCTTTGAAAAGATCAATAAAATGATAATCCACTAGCCAGACTAAGAAAAAAATGAGAGGCACAAATTACTACTGTCAGAAATGAATAAGATATCATTACAGATCCCATGAGCATTTAAGGATAATAAAGTACATTAAAAGGATGATAAAGAAACAACTCTATACCCCATTTAAGTTAGCCTCACAACTTAAATGAAATGGAACACTTTGGGGAAAGCCACACTTTGCTAAAAACCCACAAAGAAAGGAACAGATAAAAATTAATACGTCTCTATCTATTAACAAAATTGACTTAATAATTAATTTTTCCACACAGAAAGTTACAGACCTAGAAGAGTAAGCTGTAGAGTTCTACCAAACATATAAGGAAGAACTTATGCCATTTCTCTACAATCTCTTCCAGAAGATAGAAACAGAAGGAATACATTTTAACTCATTCTATGAGGCCAGCAATACTCTAATACCAAAACCAGGAAAGACATTACAAGAAAACTACACACAAATATTTTTCATAAATTTGGATGCAAAATCCTCAACAAAACAGAAGCAAGTATAAAACGAACTATATACAATGCTGAAGTGGGATTTATCCCAGGTATTCAAGGCTATTTCAATATTTGAAAATCAGTTGAATTTATCCCAGTAACAAGCTCAATAAGGACCATTATATGATTATATACATATGTGCATGTGTATATATATATTTTGTGTGTGTGTGTGCAGTAAAAGTATTTGACAAAAGCCAACACTCCTTTATTATTAAAAATTCTGAGAAGTCTATAAATAGAGATAAATTTTTTCAACTTGATAAGGGATATCTACAAAAGCCCTACCATTAGCATTCTATTTTATGGTGAGAATCTAGAAGATTTCCCACTAAGATCAGGAACAAGGCAAGGAAGTGCCCTCTCACCACTGCTTTTCAACATCATACTGAAGATCCTAACTAATGCAATAAAACAAGAAAATGAAATAAAGAGTACACAGATTGGAAATGAAGAAATAAAACTACATTTCTTTGCAGATGACATAATCCCAAACAATAGACAACAAAAAATTCCTGAGACTAGTAAATAATTATAGCAAGGTATCAGGATACAATGTTAATATACAAAAGTTAATTGCTTTCTTATACCAGCAATGAACAAATGAAGTCTGAAATTCAAAACACATTATCATTTACACTAGCACCTCCCAAAATGAAATACTTAGGTATAAATCTAAAAAAATATGTACAAGATTTAGTTTTTTTTAAAAAACCTGTGAAACTCTCATGGAAGAAATTAAGGAATTAAATAGATGGAGAGATTCCATGTTCATGGATAGGAAAACAATATCATCATGGTGTCAATTCTTCCCAACTTGATCTATAGATTTAACACAATCCCAATCAAAATCTCAGCAAATTATTTTGTGGATATCAGCAAACTGATGATAAAGTTTATATAGAGAGTCAAAAGACTCAGAATAGCAAACACAACATGAAAGAACAAAGTTGGAGGAATGATACCACCATACCTCAAAACTTAGTAGAAGCCTATAGTAATTAAGACAATGTGATATTGGCAAAAGAACAGGCAAATAGATCAGTAGAACAGAATAGAAAGCCTAGAAACAGACCCACATAACTATAGTCAACTGATCTTTGACAATAGATTAAAGGCAGTACAGTTGAGAAAAAATAGTAGCTTCAATAAATGGCACTGGAACAACTAGACATGAAAAAAATGAATCTAGACACAGATCTTACACTTTTCACTGAATATTCCAGGACTGAGTGAAATATTTAGGACTGAGTGAAATATTACTCAGTCCTAAAAAGAAATTAGCTAATAAGCCATGAAGAGACATGGAAAAATCTTAAATGCATATTACTAAGTGAAAGAAACCAGACTGAAAAGGCTACACACTGTATGATTCCAACTATATGACATTCTGGAAAAGGTAAAATTGGAGATAGTAGAAAGATCAATGGTTGCCAAGGGGTAGCAGGAGAAAAGATTTAAAAGGTGAAGCACAAAAAATTTTTATGGCAGTGAAACTATTCTGTATGATATTATAATGGTGAATACATGTCATTATGCATTTGTTAAAACCCACAGAAGATACATTCATATGGGTTTTGAGCAAACTCTAATATAAACTATGGACTTTGGGTAATGATATGTCAGTGGAGGCTAATTGATTGGAAAAAATGTATATTCTGGTGCAAGAGATTGATAGTTGGGGAGCCTGAGCATGTGTGGGGGAGTATATGAGAACTTTCTGTATTTTCTTCTCTATTTTGCTGTAAACCTAAAGCAACTCTAAAAAAATAAAGTCTAATTTAAAAAAGAAAAATTGCAGCATAAATTTCTGCCTGAGTTTCCAGCCTGCCAATTTGCCCAACAAATTTCAGACTTGCCACCATCCACAATTGCATGAACCAATTCCTTGAAATAAATATATTTATAAATAAATAGACTGTAAATGCCATGGTGTACCTGGATAACTGGAGGGCAAAAGTAGGAATATTAGAAGTATGAAATTAGTTCTAAAAAAGAGAGTTACTATAAATACACATCTTTCTCTTTCTGACCTTTTCCTTGGTACTAGAAACTATAGTAGTAGATTGCTGTGTTTGGGGTCAAATAACCTAATTCAAAGCCAGAATGGTCTAGACTGATTTCCTTAGTTGTCTCATTATTCTTACCCCTTTTATCCAAGGATAAGGGACAGGTGAGGGCAGGTAGAATTACCAAAGAGTAACACCTGCAGGTGCCTGAACTTCTGCCCTTAAAAACAAGATTATTTATTGTTCAATGTCAAAAAGTCATAACCACCTTTTGTTAAAACTTAGTCCAGGATGAACTTGATCTTGAGATTTTAGAGATCTGTTTAGGTATTTATTTTTCTCTCTGGAATGCTCGATAATTATTGAAACTTTTTTTTGTGCCAACCCACAAATTTTATTTTCTGTTTTTATAGATATCTAAATGTAACATATAGGTATAAAGAAGAAAATGATAACCAGTAATTTCACTGCAAAAAGATAACCATTATTCAACTTTATGACTTCACATAACATTAGTTTCCACCAGATACTTTTCATCAAATTATTGCCCTAAAATTTTCCAGCATACTTGATTTATCACTTTGTATTTTAGAAAATATTTTATGAAAGTACTCAAAGAATGGTGTACTGAGTGAAAAATTGGCACACAGTACGCACACAACAATTATTGGTTCCTTTCCCCCATCTGTTACAATGACAAAAAGAGGACATTTAAGTTAAAGAACTAAAATAGTAAGGAAAACAATAATATATATTAATTTAATCATTTATCTTCTGCTGTTATCATTTACTTTTAGCGTTATATATGCTTTCACACCTTCCTTGTCATGATCCCAAAACGCAGTAAAATAGAAAGAGAACAAGTATTGAAATCCAATGTACCTAGTTTTGGTACGTTATTTACCGTTCTAAGTCACAGTTTTCACAATTCTGCATCGAAGAACTGATGTGAGAAACATCCTAGATGCTCAATAAAAGTCTGTATTCTTACTCCTTCGCCTTATCTCATGTCTGTCTCACCGAGGTATGATTGCTTGGCTCCAGAGTCCAATAGGGCAATATGCTGGTTTTAGAGATGAGAATGGTGTTGTGCTGTTAATAATGGTTGCCTCGCTGAGATCAGGAAAGAGACTGAGGCAGGACATCTCCATCTGCACCTAGTAAAGTAGTAAAACTCTCTTTTTGTTGCATCCCTAACTCAGAATTAACTGATAACCTTCCCCTAAAATCAATCTGAAAGTGTTAGCATTATTGAAGTGATAGAAATCAGAGGATGATCAAGGAATCAGAATTAGGTATCATTGTCATGGTAAGAAGAATGTTTTCCCACTGCCAAAAAGTTTACCCAAAGTCTCCTTCATGTCTCTGTTCCTCAAGCTATAGATGAACGGATTTAACATGGGAATAATCACCATATAGAAAATGGATGCCCTACTTTCTCTCTCTGTAGAGTAAGCTGATGGAGGAAGTAAATACACACCCATAAGAGACCCATAGAAGAGCAGAACCACCGTGAGATGAGAACTACAGGTAGAGAAGGTTTTCCATCGCCCTCCTGGAGATGAGATGCCAAACACAACCCAGGAAATGCGGACATAGGAGAAGATGATCAGCATGAGAGAAACAGTGAGGAATATCAAGCCCATGGTGATGATCATCAGCTTGTTTATGTGGGTATCTGACCAGGCAAGCTTCAAAAGAACACTAGGATCACAGTAGAAGTGGGGAACGGCCTTCTGGGCACAAAAAGTCACACGGGTAAGCAACAGTGTGTGCATAAGGGCAGGACAGTTGGTTAGCATCCAGCACATACCCAACATTAGTACACAGAGTTGGGGACGCATAGCTGTGCTGTAATGGAGTGGCTGGCAGATGGCCACATGGCGGTCATATGCCATCACAACCAGTAGACAGTTGTCAAGGCCACCAAACAAAAGGAGGAAATACAGCTGTGCAAGGCACCCAGAATAGGAGATGGTCTGACTCTGGATATGAACGTTGGCCAGCATTTTGGGGATTGAGGCTGAAATAAAACAGGCATCAGTTAATGATAGATTAGCCAGAAAGAAGTACATGGGAGTATGGAGGTGTGGGTCAGAGCTGATGGCTAGAAAGATGAGCAAGTTCCCCACCATGGTGACCAGGCACATGCCCAGGAAGATGCCAAATATGACAGACTGTTCTTCTGGCCTCTCAGAGAGTCCTAGAAGGAAGAAGTCTGAAACAGTGGTTTGATTCACTCTGCTTGGTTTGCTCATCCCTCGTAGTTCTTGTTATCTATGCACATAAAATCCTTCCATGTGTTAGTATGTAATTGTTAGATCAATTTATAAATATATGCTTCTGTGGCCAGATCTGGGCTGGGGAAAAAAGGGGAATAAATTGTCTTTACCAGTGAGAATCTCTGAATCTCATTGGGGATAAAAGAAAATACTCATGAGACATTTAAACAGCAGTTAAGCTGATACCCATTTAAATATAAATTGTGCTTTCTATGCTATGATGTAGTCCAGAGAAAAGAGATCAATTTGACTAGAGAAGTCACCATAGGCTATTTGAAGATTATAAGAATTTAGCATGGCCTTGATGGCAAGATTGGAAAAGTCATTTATGATTGTGATTATCAACTGGGAAAGAGATGCATAATCAACACCCTTACTCCTTGCCCAATACATGTACACACACACACAAACACACACGTGTTACATACCATTTTGTGGGGGATGAAAATAAATGACTTTTAAGTACAAGACAGCCTCCTGTCCAGTTGCCTTTCAGTTTCTAGAATTTGACGTCATTCATCCAGACCAGTCCTGTACTTTCCCCTAACCAGGTACGTAGAATATGTGGGTTGAGGGCAGTAAGTGTCTGTGGTGTCAGACTCCTCTATCCACTGGTAGGATGTCCCCTTTGCAAATAAAACCCTCTCTCCTTCATCACTCTCTCTCTCTTTTATTCCTACCCTCTTCCCTTTTTGCTCTTCTGCATTTTTATTTGCTCTGGGAACTGATATTTTAGTCACCTTGTGCCTTCACCCCTACACTTGAACAACTATCTCTGTTATTTATGTGTTCCCCTCCTCAGAGGGAAGAAAGGTGAAAAGTATCAGGTCCTGACTTCTTGTATTGAAAATAGCCACTCTGTTATGCTGTTTTAGGATCTAGAGCAAGGTGGTAGAAGAGACCATCTCATATTGACCTTGTAAAAGTTTTGACCTTAGAAACTTTTGTATTTTAGTCTTCCATTTGTTCTTTGGTTCGTGGAGAAGCTTTGAACCTTAGGCAGAAGCTCTCAGCTTATCTACCCCAGAAATGCTGGTCAGACTGGAAAGGACAGAGTGTGTGTGTGTGTGTGTGTGTGTGTGTGTGTGTGTGTGTGTGTGTGTGTGTGTGTGTGTTTCTTCCAGAAACTCACCTGTCAGATTATGGATCAGTTGCAGGCATCTTTAGTCTCCAATGCTCTCCCTGGATGGAAAAATTCACAAGGAACTCTGAGACCTTTCTGACACAGAATCAGTAAAGTTGGGGTCTATTGAATCTAGAGTTTATTAGTAACATCCGGAGTGTCTGACACAATTTCAGCTTTTCCAGGCTTGAAAAAATAGGACTATTTCTTAGGGCTATAAAGGCTCCTGGAACACCATTTCCCAAAGTGCTCATTAAAGCCAGCTTCAGTGTCATTGAGCAGCCTTTTCTCCATTCAGCTCTGGCTAGCTCCTATGGGAACTGAGAGCCTCTGTTATTCAGGTGTTAAACTCTTGTCTGTGAGTCTCAAGAGTGTGATTTTTTTTTTTTTGAGTTGGTGTCTCACTCTGTCACCCAAGCTGGAGTGCAGTGGCATACTCACGGGCACTCCAGCGTCAACCTGCTGGGATTCGGGAATCTTTCTGCCTCAACCTTCCAAGTAGCCAGAACTACAGGCATGCGCTACCATGCCCAGCTAATTTTTTGGTTTATTGTAGAGATGAGATCTCGCCAACTTGCCCGGGCTGGTCTCGAACCTGCAGGTTCAGGCAATCCACTTGCCTCGGCTTCCCAAAGTGCTGGTAAGATTACTGGTTTACCAGCACTGCAATGATTCTGAAGACTCTTACTGGAATACAGTGCACTTCAGACTAACTAGCAGGTGTCTTGCCTATGTATTGTCCCATGCCATAGGTAAAACTGCATTGAAGAAGAAATCAGGAACAAAAAATATCATGACCATATTTGCTAGTGACTTCCCTAAAGAAGAGTAATCCTAAAATGAACCAACTCCCTCAACTCTAAACTCTCAATTAAATAAGGCAGCCTAAACATGCATATCAGCCATGATACCTCATGTACAGCAACTGCTAAAAAAGCTACTCAAATCACCTGTATTTTTGTTAGCAATAGCTATGCCTTACTGAATACCTTCTTTGCATAATCTCCAGTAATACAAAAAAGTCATTTCTATCCATAGATCCAAAAAATTTCACCTAATCATTTTTCTAAATTTTAAGTATTACATTTAAATCTTTACTTACAATTTATGTTGTGGCACAGTGGGAGAACAAATCTATTTTCACTTTTTGTTTTTTGGTGTTTTTTTTTTTTACAAGTAGTTGAATCACTACCATTTATAATAATTCCTGCATTATCCATTTGTTTGTTAAATACGAACACCTACAGGTGGTCTTTCTGTAACACTTGGACCAACTCACAGCATAGAAGCATCTTCTGAAAGCAAGCATCTTGAGAGAAAACGTTCTAAGAGGCCAGCCGGCAGGTGCATCATTTCATAAATTTTGGGACTTAGTTTATGTAAATCCTAGAATCTCAGTTTCACTGCTTTCTTTCTATAGGTCAGACAAGTCACTAAACTGGCTAGGACAGTCACTAGGGGAAAGAAACTAAGCTAAGTCTCTCAATAGGAGGTATAGCAAAAAATTTTTAGTGATCTTTAATTTACTTCAGTCGGCGCACTTGCCACAAATTATTTACATTCCTCCCACATTCAAAATAGGCTCACCTCTTCCCAAGAGCCTCAGAATCTCACTCCATTGCTATATAAAGTCAATGGCCAAGACCTTGTAATCTACATGAGGTCCAGGTAAAAGTAAATTTTCTCAGATGCAGTTCCCCGTGCGGTGTTCCTCTCAATCGGATGTTGCAAACATGGAATAACTACATAGGCACTGCCAATTCTCAGGACAGGGAGGTAGACAGGAAGCCCATAGCTATATTTCAGCTTAGCAATAACCCACAACCATCGCATCAGCTAGCTATATTTCATTCATTCTCATTGCTGCTAATATTCCAATGATAGATATACCACAATTCATCTATTGCACAAATGATAGGTATTTAGATGACTTCCAATCTGATATTTAACAAAGAGTAGTAACATAAAGATTCTAGTACTCGCATTTGGGGAATATGCATACACATTTTGGATGAATATATATCTAGAAATCAAATTTTGGGGTCCTCGGTTTTGCATACATTCAGTTTAGTTTTTCAGAGGGATTTAAATATAGTTGCAACTATAGTCATTTTAACTATTCTGGAAAGTATGTAGTAGTAACAAATTGTAGGTTAAGTTTTAATTTTTTTAATGACTGATGAAGTTGAAAATATTTTCATAAGATTAGTAAAATATATTTTATGACAGTCTTTTGAAGTCTATTGATTTTTAATTTTACTTTATTTTATTTGTTTATTTTGGATTCAAAGCCTGCATGTGCAGGTTTGTTACATGAATATATTGTGTGATAGTGAATTTTGGGTTTCTATTGAGTCCATTACCCAAATGGTGAGCATAATAACCAATAGACATTTTTTCAGGTCTTGCCCTTCTCCCTCTCTCTTTTCTTAAAAAGGTCCCAGTGTCTGTTTTTCTTATTCTTATACCTATATGTACCCAGTGCTTAGCTCCCACTTATCCGTAAGACCATGCAGTATTTGGTTTTCTGTTTCTGTGTTAATTCCATGTCTCAGATGTGGCTATTGTGAACAGTGCTGCAATTAACATGGGACTACAGGTGTCTATTCAATATAATAATTCCCTTTCTTTGGTATATCTAGCAAGCAGTGGGATTGCTGTATCATATGATTCTCATTTGTTTTCTAAGGAATATTCATACTGTTTTCCATAATGACTGTGCTAATTTACATTCCCACAAACTGTACAAGTAATCACCTTTCTCTATATCCTCTCCAGCATTTGTTATTTTCTAATTTTTTTATAATAACCATTTTAATTAAGGTAAGTTGATGTTTCATTTTGTTTCTGTTTGTCTTTCCCTGATGATTAGTGATATTGAGCATATTTTCATCTATCTGTTGGCCATTTGGATGTCTTATTTGGAGAAATGCCTATTTCAGATCTTTTGTCTATTTTTAAATCAAATTATTTTGTTGTTTTCATTGAGCTGAATTCCTTATATAGTTTGGTTATTAATTTCTTTTTGGATGAATAGTATGCAAATATTTTCACCCATTCTGTAGGTTGTCTCTTTGCTTTGCTGTTTGTTTTATTTGCTGGGCAGAATATTTTTAGCTTGATATAATCCCATTTGTCATTTTTTGCTTTTGTTGTCTATGCCTTTGAGGTCTTACCCCTAAAAAATATTTTCCTAGAACAATGTCCTGAAGTGTTTTCCCAAAATTTTTTCTAGTGGAATTACAGTTTAAGTGTAATGAAGTCTTAGTTTTAAGTCTCTAATTCATTTTGATTTGATATTGGCATATGGTGAGAGATAGGGGTCTACTTTCATATTTCTGCATACAGATATTCAACTTTTTCAGTGTAATGTATTAAGAGACTATTCTCTCCCCAATGTATGTTCTTGGCATTTTTGTCAAAAATGAGTAGACTGTAAATATGTACATTTATTTCCTGGTTCTTTATTCTGTCCCATTGTTCTATGTGCCTGTTTTTATAACAGTACCACGTGGTCTTGGTTACTATCAATTTGTAGTGTGTATATATGTGTGTGTGTGTATGTGTGTGTGTGTGTGTGTGTGTGTGTGTGTGTGTGTGTGTGTGTATAAAAGATGTGGGGTACAATTCAGAGTTAGGTATACAAATGTTAATTATGCGGGTACCCTTGTTGAGAAGGTGTACCACTCCCTCCCCTAACAGTTTCCCTCAACTGCCAATCCCATCCGCTCCCCTGACAGTTTCCCACTACTGCCAATACTTTTCTTATAGGATTATGATAATTGTTCAAGGTCTAGTTATGAGTGAGAACATATGGTACTCTGTTCTTTGTTTCTGTGATAGATCACTGAGTATGATAGACTCTAAACCCATTCAAGTTGCTGCAAAATCCATA